GAAAGTATAGAACAAGAGGCTCGGGAGGTACAGTCAAAGAGCCATGAGAACTGATCCCATGTTTAGGACCAATTCCTAATCAAGGAGGGCGGGGCGGGGCGCACCTCAGCGCCTCCTTCCTGGTGCACTTCCCGTTTCCGCTGTTTTCGGCAGTTTAACAGAATGCTGACTGTGTGGCTAGTAGATAAGTTATTTCTTTAGCTCTTAAGTCTTCATGTTCAGAGGAGTAGTATTCAAGATGCTGTACTGCAGTAACCTTTCCCACTGGGCCATGTCTGAGCTTCAGGCCATAGTAACTGAGTTCTGTAGAAACTGAGTGCCACTTGGCCAGGCGTGGTGGCACACATCCGTAATCCCAACGACTCCAGCAGCTGAGATAGGAAGATCATAAGTTTAAGACCAGCCTGGGCAATTTAGTGACTTGGTGAGATTATGTCTCAAAGTAAAAATTTAAAAAGGACTGCTGATGTACTTCAGTGGGTTCTCACCTTAATACAAACCAGTGTATTTTTAAGGGAGAGAAATATAAGAACATTGTGGCCAATGGGCAGATTGAGCTGTTTCTTTAAAGTGTTCTTTTTAAATGTTAATTCCATAGAAAGCTGGAATACAGGCCAACCTCTGACTTGCTTCTAATGAACAAAGTGTGAGAGAAGTTGATGCCTCGTGGCTTCCAACGCTATGTTAGAAAAGCTCTGTATATCCAAACAATCACCCTCATAGCCAGCTGTCATGACATGAGGATACTTAAGCCACAAAGACAGCCTAGGTGGTCCAGGTCCTGTCCCAACTGAACTTCCAGCCATCCCCCAGCATCAATGACAAGACCCAGATATAGTGAGGAAACCGTCAGATGGTCTGTTTTAGAGAAAACACTACGTGCTGCTGAGAAAAATGGTATTCTGTTGCTGCAAGGTAGAATACTGAGATATATATATCAATATCATTTGTTCAAAGCTGTGGTTCAACTATGATATATCTCTGTGGAGCTGTTGAGTGAGTCACTGAGGTTTCTTGCTCTTATTGTGTTGATGTTTATCTGATATGTATGTCCACTAGTGTTCGTTTTGTGTACATAGGCGCGCTGGTGTCTGATGCATATATATGTGTGATTGTTATGTCTTCCTGTTGAGCTGTTCCCTTAATCAATACTGTCTTCATTGTCTTATTCTGAGGCAATGGTGGCGAGGCTATGGCTTCTGTGTTATTTGTTTTTCTTTTAGGACAAAAGAATTTAATCTATGATTTATTATTTTCTAAACTAAAACCTCAGTGTTAAGATTTGAGTGCAGTGTTAGCACTTTGCAGTAAATATGTGGGTTTTGGGTTGCCATTTGGGCACTCAGTCTCTGAAAGTTTCACTATCCTTGTTCTAGGGTACCCTTGAGAATATTTTAGGGTGCTGGTTTGGTGGTTTTAAATTCCTTAAGGTACTCTTTGTCATAGAAAGTCCTTATTTCTCCATCTATTTTTTTTTCTCCATCTATTTTGAAAGATAGTTTTGCATGGTATGTCAGTCTGCCTTGGAAGTTGTTTTCTTTTAGGGATTGAAAAACTTCACTCCAAATTTCCTGGCCTTTAACTTTTGTGTTGAGAAATCTGCTATAATTCTAATGGGTTTACCTTTACAAGTTCTTGCTTTGCTCTAACAGCTTTTAAGATTTTGTCTTTGTGTTGCACTTCTTATATTTTGTCTATGATGTGTTGTGGAAAAGTTCTTTTCAGGTCTTGTATTTTTCAGGTTCTCTATGCATTTTTTACCTCTATGTTAAAATATTTCCCCATGTGCCGAATATTTTCTCCTGTGATTTCTGTAAGCAACTTTTTTTATGCCATTTGTACTATTATTTTTCCCTAATTCAAATTAATCTTTATTTTGTTTCTTTGTTTGGTTTTGGTTTTTGAGACAGAGTCTATGTAGTTCAGGCAATCCTCTTGTTTCAGCCTCCCAAGTACTAGGATTATAGGCATGTGCCATCATGACCAGCCCAAATTAATCTTATGGCAGTCTGCTTTGTATCATCTATAATTTGTTAGATCCATTTTCTGTAATCTGTTATTGTTTTTAAGGTATCTCTGAGATTATATGGTTCCCTGCATCAGAGCTATCTTCTATTTTTGACTTTTTCCCTCACATTGGTCACTTTTGCTGTCCATACTAAGATATTTTTTAATGTCCTAGACTTCTGTTTAGTACTTTATTGTGGACTTCAATTTTCATCTAAACTGGTCATTTATGTTTTGGATTGTTTTGTTTAGCCCAGGTAGCTTTTTATTGTCTATTTTAAGCTCACTGATCATTTGTTTGTTAAATCCGTTATCTCTTTAGTTATATTATTGTTAATAGGAAAATATTTATTGGTACATTTTAGACATTCATAATGATAACACTCATCATAGGGAATTTGCACCTGTATACAATAGTTATATCATTTTTTATCTTGCTAAGCACCTTATTGATTTTTTTTTGTTTCTTCCTTTATCATTTCATATAATTTTCCTGTTTAGATTTAGGGTTTTTTTCCCAGTCAATCCCCTCGGATCAGCTTTGGGGAGCCTGGGAGCTCTTGGAGGCATTGTGTTGCCTTCTTTTCTCATGTTTCTGTTGTGCGCATGTGAGTCAGAGTGTGTGTGTGTGTTGAGGGTTGAAAGTCAACTAGGGTGGAAATACTTTGTTGCTGTTATGGAAATCTCTTGTTGGTGACTGCTTTCCAGACATGTGCTCTGAGCTCGGCTCGCTATAGCCACAGTCACCCATGGGAGGACGCTGGTGATGCCAGGGCATACACCAGTATGTGTGCACAGGGCACTAAGTACCCAGAAGCCGTGCCACTGCTGGCCTGCGAAGCCCCATCCTGGCTCCAAGGGACAGCTCTGCAGAAGCAGCACAAATATAAGCTACAATACCACTTGGTGTTTTATTGAGGGCTTCTCCCCACATGTCCAGCTAATGGCATGTGAACTTTGACGTATGTTTTCACTGTCTGCTCTAACTGCTCAGTCAGTCTCCCGAGGGTAGTGTTGGTAAGGCCCGGGAGAGAGAAACAGACACAATACTACACCTTCATTTAAAATATCCATTATGGACAGATATCTATCTATCCTTTGCAGAGGACTGGGACAGAGCTATTTGGCTTTCCAGCCTTTCCTACAAGGGGCAGGGAGAAGGCATCTATGTCAGTAGCAATGTCCACTGAGACAGTCTCTTGGAAAACCCCTCAGCCTAAGTGTGCAGTGGTTTAAGTTGAACGTCCATAATTGAAGGCAGGACTCCCTGGGGACTTGTGTGATTTCCACACTTTTCTCAGTAGGCAGGAGGTGCAGGAGGGGCCAGAGGTCTGCACGCAGTTGAAGAAACAGAGCCTGTTAAACATGGTGATAGTCAGAACACACAGCAAAGGCATCAACCCTGAATGATGGCTCCAGGCTGGCAGGGCACGGCTGTGGTCATGTGTATTCTGACCCCAGAGCCCTCTGCCACAGGATGTCGGGTTTCGAGTGAGCTTGTCTCACAGACATTGGAGAAAGAGCTGCCAGATGTGCCAGGAGTCCTTGGAGAGATTCTGCTGTCAGTGATGCCTTTGGATCCTTCCAACTCTAGCATCCTTTCTTCTGTTGTTGATGCGCACGAGGCCTTCTGCAGAAGGAAGCACAACCTAGCACAGATGTGCACACTGCTCACGTGGTGACCGGTGCCCTCCCTGCGCAGGCTCCTCACACAGGGCGGAGGCCACAGTAGCTGAGGGCTAGATGCAGCTTCCGTTCCACCATCACTTCCCACTATGCCCTGAGGACCCAGGGACGGCGCCTCGGGAGCCAGGGTTAATGACCAAGGTAAGAACTAAGGAAAGAAAGGAGGGGAGAGGGGAGAAAGGAAGATAAGGAGGAATCCTGGCAGGGATGGATGAAGGAAAGAAATGCACAGTTATATATTAAAAAGAAGGGGGGGAAGTATGCAAAGATATTAGTGACTACAAACTGCAGGGTAGGTGAAATCTACAAAATGTGGCCAGGCAGGGGATTGAAGAAAATAATCAATAATAAATAGACAATTAAACAGACAAAATGCTTTATTTGATGAGCCTCATACCAAAAATTATTTCTATTCAGCAATGAAAGGAAAAAAAGAATCTCTCTCCCCTCCCTCTCTCTCTCTCTCTCTCTCTCTCCCTTGTTCTTCCTCCCTCCCTCTCTCTTTTTGTTCGGAACAAGCCAGGAGTTGCCTTACTGTACATAGAAAATATGTGTATCAGTGGGCTAAACTGCATTTTTCCTTAAAGTTCTAGGAAGAAGATGAGTGAGTTAAAACAGGATGGTGCGGTTTCTCAGCCAAGTTATTCATTTAAACAAGTAAAAGAGCATCAATGTTTCAAATGCTACAACAATGTCAGGGAAAAAACTAGCAACATGGCAGTTAATCTAAACCACATGCAATGATTTTTGTTCATCTAGTTTTCCACTAAGCATGCAGGAAAGGCTCCCTTGTCATGATCCTTATCCCCAAGGAGCTTAAAATAAAAGGGGAAGGAGGGCCTGGTGAGAGCAGTTCAGGTGGCAAGAGATGCAGGCTGGCAGCGGAGGGCAGCTGGCGCGCTCCCTGGCTCAGGGGAAGGAAAGGCTGCTCCACACACATGGGCCGAGGAGGATCTCTGGACAAAGACATCAGAAATGGTGTTGGACGGTTGAGTCCTACTGACAAAAATGGAGATCCCATGCTACAGAGCGCCAGGCATTGGGCCACATTAACAGGGGATTATTACACAGAAAGAGCAACGATTTAAACCGATCGGGTAAAGGATGTGACCGCGATGTTGTCCAAAGCTCCAGGGAATTTGGGTGTCCTCATCGTGGAGGAGGCGTTTCATGGGATAGTCCGATATGAGCTGTGGAGGAACAGAGGTGGGACAAAGGCTGGATGGGTTGAAGGTGGCAGGAGAAACGCCAAGAGAGGTAACAAATACGGAGCAGAACTTGGCACGCCAGGAGGAAATGAGAAGAACTCACCAGCGCTTCTTACAGCACAGCACCAGAACCGCCAGAAGCACCAGGGGCGCCATCACTGCCACGGCGATCAAGCTCATGGACAGGCCGTGTCCTGTGGTGTCGGAGAGTGCAGGTGACACGCGTGTCATCTTAGACCAACTGCTGGCTCCACCCCCTCCGCTGCTTTCCTTAAGCAACTTGTGAACTGGGTGACAGCCACATCAACCGTCTTGCTTCAGTGGCTCTGTTCCCCTTCCCACCCAAGGAGGATTCTTCATTTCCTCCAAAACGTCTTGGATCTGCACTTCCCTCGGGTCCTACTCCTCCATTCCTGGAATTACCTGTGTTCCTTCCTTCCTCAGTTCCTAGCTAAATTTGCCATGTCCAGTCCTCGCTCTGTCCCGCCCGTGCACCCGTGGGCTCAAGAGCCGCCCAGGTACACTCGCGACCGTCTCACCCCCGTGGAGGATGATGTCCTGGTCCCCCAGGCTGCTGTGCCTCCCTCGACAGGACAGCCCGGCCGCCTCCGCAGGCGCCACCTCCAGGCTCACCCGACGGTACCACGTCCCATCCGCGTGCCGGAGAATGTCACCTTCTTTCGTGCCCAGCTGCTCCTGCTCACCCCGCATCCACATCACCCAAATGGGCTTCGGGTGGAAACCAGAGACGTGACACACCAGCAGCAGTCGGCCAGACCCAGGACTGGGGCGACTGGACAGCCAGGCCTCCGGCAGCACTGAGCAGCAAACAAAAGGGACTCAGAGGTGGACACTCAGCACTCTGCCCAGGGGACATACAACGTATCCGAGTTAGCATGGGGTCACCCTTTTCCTTCCTCTGTGAAACTGTCACCCGGCAATACTGCCCCGCTTGTCCTCCTCTCTGTGCTCAGTGTGAAGAGGGGGCAGGAGGGAGCACCATGAATAAATCAGAGGAAAGGGCTCAACTGACCTTGTCTCTGAAGGTCCATCTTCCCTGCATCCAGGAGGCCCAAGAGAAATCGGGGACAAGTGTTTTTGACAAGGCTCTTTGCCATTTCCTTGATGCCTTCGTACTGATTGCATAGGTCACAGACCTTCTGGGCCTGATCGCCGCCCTCCGGAGCTGGCAGCCACGTCGTGTCCTGGAGACTCATGAAATCTGAGCCTTCAAATGCCACCTGGAAGAAGCTTCTTGGGCTCTCAGCAGAGAGCAGCTCACAGCCGGCTCTCACCTGAACGGTGAAGGGATCTGGGGGAAGGAAGGCAGGAGAAAACAAGCACAAGTGAAGGAAATGCCAGCAATGATGTAGGGGTCTAAGGGACTCTTGGGAAGTGGATCACAAAGATTTATACAGGTGTGAGAATGAACCAAAGATATATACTGATAGAAACAAAGGGAGGAAAAATTGCTGGGGACGGAGAATGGGGGCCAACAAGAAATAAACATCTTCAATTGACAAGATATTGACCTGAGCAGTTTGGAGAAATGGTAGGCGAGCCACAGAACTGCAGCTTTTCATATGCATAAAATTGGTCACCATAGCTGTAAGACTGTGAATGTAGATGTTTGGAGATATTGAAGGCTTGTATTTTAAGGAAATCGGAGTGAAACGATCATGTCTTCTGGATTGTACACCACAGAAAGAGATCAGAGAGGAAAAATGACAAAGCTCAGGGAAAAAATATTCCTGAAGTAGTTAAAGTCTGGAAATCTGAGTAACTATTTGGAATATCCCTTGACTCTGCACGCGGACTTTTATGGTGGGATGGAAAGATGGAAATGTCCCAGGAAGGAATACAGAATATTTTCCAGAAACAGAACCCGCAAAGAATCTTTTAGTTGAGTTGATGGAACTTAACATCTGAACTGTAATTGACTGGCATAGTTTTGAACCTCCTTAGTTAATCCAATGAAGTAGAAATGAAACAGCAGCTCCAGGTCGACAAGTTCTTCATTGCTGAAGTTGCCCCTGGACCAGGTGTGCAGGAAAATGATGGTTCCTGATTCACTCTCCCAGCCATGAGTCTGCAGCTTGCCCAGCCAACCAGATCCCTGATTCTGTGCCCACGATTGGTTAGCATAGAATGAGATCTGGATTACTTGGAAGGAGGTGTGTTCCTGGACCCCTATAGAGGAAGGTTGAGCAGCGTAAAGCAAACAGAAGAGGCCATCAGGAGAGAGAGAAGATGGAGCTATTTCCCAGAGAAAGAAGCATAATGCCCAGCTTCACAGTGACATTTTCCTTTCCCTGCCCTTATACCATCTCCAAAAGAATGTAGTACACCTGGAGACAGGTGCTCGCATCATAGACCTTCTGGAACTCTAAGTGAGCCACCTTGGGAAAGCCCACCCCTCACCTTAGACCCAGCCAACTGGGCAGCTGGTAGAGATGTTCTTACCATTTGCAGGGTTGCTGCCTGGGAGGAGAACAGCCAGCAGTGGAAGTAATAGAATCAGCATCTGTGGATGTCTCCTTCTCACAGCAAAGCTGGTTGTTGAAGTCTGATATCAACAAACCCACCCTTTCCATATGGGTATAATTTTCTTCCACCAACAATCTCCTCCGCCAGCCACTGATGGCAACTAAGAAAATCTGTAGCTTGCCTCGACCTTGGGCCTCCTACATGATCTCTCATTTCCCCTCTAGCTTTGAACTGAAGTTATTGTCTCCTCATATGGATTTCTGTTGTGCTTCTCTCCACTAAGCTCCACCCTATCCACGCCGCTCCATCAACCATCCCTGGAACAAGTGACATGTGACACCTCTCTGGGTGATGTACCTTAGCCGTAAAATAGAAAGCCAGACCTGCATGGCTTCCCCTGGCCCATCGATCCCCTCCTGTGCTCAGTCCATCTCTGCCTGTTGAATGTCCTCACAGCTGTCCCTTTCCCACCTCACCCCTTATCGGGCCGCCCTGGACCTGACAGGCAGAGCCTCTCCCGGGACTGGTGGCATTTGCCCGTCCTACACTGTCTCACTCTCTGCTCTGTGACCCACTCCCCACAGGAGGGAAGCCCCCTGCTGCCCGCTTCCCTGTCAGAGACGGCACAGCCTCCCACAGCCCTTTGTCTCTTCCAGGGCTTTTCATTTCCCCTTCAGCTCTGCTTCCCTAATTCCTCCCACTCTTATCTCTAGTCTCTGCCTTCGTCCTTCTCACACGGACAACAGTGGAAAGGCCCCAGCCAGCACGCTGGGATGAGCTCCTGCCCGGGCTTCTTGGCTAGCAGCAATAATCCTCTACTGTGAAATGCCTGGATTGGAGGAGCTTGGGAGTCTCTACTTCAAATTTAACGTTTACACCCTTTGAATTGATCTATGTTCCTCGCATTTCCATTTCCATAGTCTTTTCTTTCTCTTCTTTACTACCACGTCATTTCTTATATTTTTATGCTCTCATGTTGTTCTCTGTCTACCCTTATCTGAGTTCCTTGGGTTTCCTTTTTTATCTCACATCAATTCTAGCCAACCTCCTCACCCATTCACACTAAGTACTGTTCTCACTGTACCTAAATTTTGAAACTTCAAGAATTGCTTTATCAGGGCCAAGGATGTAGCTCAGTAGCACTGTGCTTGCCTTGCCAGGGCAAGGTCCTGAGTTCGATCTCCAGTATTGAAAAAAAAAAAAAAAAGAATTGCTTTATCACTTGATCCTTAGATTTTTGCATGAAAATGCATAAACCACAAGCAAAACATTTTTATTACAAGGTAGAATATAGGAAAATAAAAAATCTAATAAAACACACAGATACTCGGTAAATGATCATTTTAAAAATTATTTATACATGCCTACATGAACTCATGAGATAATGAATGCTGTAAGAAACAAAACAAATAAATTGAAAACAAAGAGGAAAATGGAAAACTAATATTTGGATTCCCAGGACATCATCAAGAGTTAGTTCCTAAAAGCTTTGTCTAGACTATGTATTTAGTAAATGTGCAATAGAAAGACACCCTCTCTTAGACCGCTGATGAAATTGGTTTAGAAAAAAGCCATCCAGGAAGGCAGCCCCCCAAAACTATCTTGTAGACCAAAACTTAAGCTTTGGTAGAGTTTTTTTTTCTTTTTTGATTGTCCTTTCAAAAATTTTTAATCACAAGTCAGCCCACACTTGAATTCAGAATTAAATGGGATGATTCTACTTTTCTTAAAAGGTCCAATCCAAGAAACTAACGATAAAAAAAATGGTTCTTAGCTGGTAATAACACAGTGTCATTCAGCAGACACAAACACAAAACTGATTTCCACGGACCCAGCGTCCATGCAGCCTACTTTTTGCTTTGCAGCTCTCATATACATAAAGCTCGTTTTACCATGGCTTAAATAAAACCAATCCCTCAGCACTAGGGCTCAAATTTCAGTTGCCACAATCTATGTTAACTGCTAATTGTCTTCTGGAATCCATCATTTTGTTAACACAATAACCCCTCCCACCATGTCAATGACTGTTTTCCTCACTTCTAGTTACCTGTGGTCAACCATGGTCCAAAAAATATATGGAAACTTCCACAAGCAAACAGTTCATAAGACTCAAGTTGTGCCACATTCTGAGCAGTGTGATGACATTTTGTGCTCCACCCTGCCCAGTATGTCACTCATCCCTTTGTCCAGGATATCCACGCCAAGCACGGTCTCTCCCCCTTACTCATTCAGCAGTTGTCTTGGTTATCGGGTCAACTATCACACGACTATCAGTGCTTGTGCTTAAATGACATTTCTGTTATGAATTACATCTAGAATGTCCTCCACATTCTCATGTGTGCACAGATAGGACTTTTGGAAGGTGATTGGATCATGGGGCACTATACTCATCAGTGCATTGGTCCATTGATGAGTTCAGTAGCTAAAGATGCAGGAGAGGAGCAGCTTTCCTCTGTAAGGCCCTTGCTCCATGATTTTGCCTTGAGCTAGCAGGCCGTGGACTGAATCCCTTGAACCATGAGGCAAATTAAATCTCCTCCTTAAAGTCGTGGGTGTCAGGTATTGTATTCAGCAATGGGACAGCTAAGACGCTTTCTATAAGGGTTACATGTTACTTGAACCCATGGCACAACCTAACATTAAACCATGTAATGTGTTATTTACCTCGCTTCATCTCATTATGGAGAAGGGTGAATGCAGCACATGAGCTAATTTGAGAGAAACTACATTTGGGTATTTTATAGTATATTGCTACAATCATTCTATTATGAGTTATTATTATTAATTTCTGTGACAGTTAACTGACTGGGTCAATTTGAGTAACAAATGCCCAACTCAATTGGATGGCATAGTTCTGGGGTATGGCTGAGGGGATTTACTGAAGATTTGCTGGGATTTACTGGGCATGAGTGATACCTGCTCGTGAACTTGCCACCTGACTGGTATAAAGGGAAACAAAGAAGGAAGGTGTGCTTCTGTTCTTTAATTAAATTCTTTTATTGGTACATTGTAGGTATACAACACAATTAAATTTCTCATTGGGAATTGTACCTTTACATAATGCATCTTGGTTCTTATTTT